GGGTATCTGTAAATCCCTGTTTTTCCCGGGCTGTTGTTGAAATTTGGGACTGACCACCTGGCCTTGGCCTCTGAGATTGCTGAGATTACAGGTGTGCAGTATCATGCCCAGCCATGAACTCTTCTTGATTGCTGCAGCTTTGTAGAAAGTTTTGAATTTGGGAAGTTTTTTACTTTGTTCTGTTTCAAGACAGTTTTTATTATTTTTTTTGTACCGGGGATCAAACTCAGGTCCTTGCACTCGCGCAACAGGCAGTGGCACCACTGAGCTAAATCCCCGGCCCTCAAGACAGCTTTAATTGTCCTTTGTCTTGTGCATTTCCCATGTACAGTTTTTACAAAAGAAACTTTTTATCCCCCAGCCCCCCTCACTTCAGTGTTGGAGTTTGAACCCAGGGCTTCATGAATATTAGGCAAATGCTTGAGGCAGTTGCAATTTTGGTAGATACTACATAAATCTGTATATCAATTTGGGGCGTGTGATCATGTTAGCAATATTATCTTTCTATTCATGAAAACGAGCTTTTAAAACTATGTTTTATCTGGGCCGAGGATTTAGCTCAGTGGTTCCCCCGCCTACCTTGAAAGTGCAAGGACCCGAGTTCGATCCCTAGTACCAAAAAAAAAAAACTATGTTTTATCGATTTCAATGTGTAAGTCTTGCATCTTCACTAAATTTTTCCCCAGGTATGTTCTTTTTGATGTTTTTGTGAATGGGATTGTTTTGTTTTGTTTTCCAGTACTGGGAATTGAATTCATAACCTTGCACTTGCCTGGCAGGCATGGCGCCACTGAGCTACATCCCTGGCCCCTGAAATTGTTTTCTTAATTTCATTTTTTGTTGTAGTATATAGAGGTGCAGTTGATCTTGTATCTTGTAAACTTGCTCACCAGTTTATTGTAGTAGTTTCTTAGTAAATTCCTTTGATTTTCTAGATACAAGTTTGTGTTTGACTTTATCTTGTAACTTTTATTCTATGTGACTCAATTTTGGTTATTCTTTTTTTTTTTTTTGGCACCGGGGATTGAACTCAGGTCCTTGAGCTTGCGAGGCAGGCAGCAGAACCACTGAGCTAAATCCCCAGCTCATTTTTGCTTATTCATATTTTAGTAATCCACAAAAATCATTGGAATTTAAAATATAGGTTGATGAAATACTTATTCTTGCACCCTGTCAGGTTTATATGCAGCTTACTTACTTTTCCTTGTGGTTCCTTGTATACCACAGATAATCATAGTATGAAAAATAAGTGTAGGCAAGCTGGGGATGTAGCTCAGTGGTAGAGTGCTTACCTAGCGTTCCCAAGGTCCTGGTTTGGTCCTGAATTTTGTCTGTAGCACTGGGAAAAAAAGAAAAGAAAAAGAAGTATCGGAATCCAAGTTGTGTTTAAGCTTCATTTGAATAAGTGCTACCTCTCTTCCCTCCAAAAAAAAGGAGATTATGCTAGGATAGTGGCCATTAGTGGTGTTATTAGTGTAAGTGGTACAGTATGGAAATGACTTGACTTCTGTATGTATGTATGTATGTATGCATGTATTTTCCCCCGGTATAGAGGATTGCATGTAGGGCCTTTGCACTGAGTAATATCCCCAGCTCTTTTTATTTTTGATTTTGAGACAAGGTTTTGCTTAATTGCTCTGGTAGGACTCAAGTTTGTAATCCTTCTACCTCAGGCTCCCGAGGTGCTGGGATTATAAACGTGCACCGCCATACTGTCTGCCTTTCATGTCTTGTATGGAAAAAACCCAAGTAGTAATGAAATATGTCGAGGAGTTGATGTTCTTTGTTTGTTAAACACACAGTATATCAGATATTTGACATGAGAAATACAATCTTTGAATGGTGGCTGTATAGGAAGAAAACACTGAACCAGAAGCTGAGAAATCTGGGTAGGTTCTTCTGGTTTGGCGAAGAGCTAACTGGTTTTGTACCCAGTTTGAAAATTACGGGGTTTTTTGGTACCAGGGATCGAACTCGGGACCTTGCGCTTCTGAAGCAGGTGCTGGAACCACTGAGCTAAATACCCGGCTCTACCTTTTTTTTTTTTGGTTGCACTGAAGAATGATCACAGAGCTCATCCATGCTAGGAAAGTTCTCTGCCACTGAGCCACATCTGTCGCCCATTACATAAGACTTCAATTCTGTTTCCACCTCTGTAAAAATGAAGAGATATAGCTGAATGATGGTCAAAGTCCTACACAGACCAAAAGCCCATCATTCTCTCTGTCTTTAGTCTCATGTTTGTACAGCAGTTGACCTGGAGTCTAAAACTGACTTTCAGCCTTGCTTCCTTTGCCATCACTTGGGTTGCTTTAAAATACATTGCTACACTAATGTGTGGCTTTGGCTGTCTTTGAGTTTCTGATTTTCAATTTGGTGGAGAAGATTCATTATAGAGTAGGCTAGCCCCCTGCCTCCCGTGATTCTAATTTGCAAACTTGAGGGCTGGCCCTTGCTTTAAAGATTTAAAAAGTAGGGGCCCAGGGATTTAGCTCAGTGGTTCAGCGCCTGCCTTGCAAGTGCAAGATCCCGAGTTCGATCCCTGGTACCAAAAAAAAAAAGTAACATTTTTAGGCTCCTGTTATTTTACAAATGATGAAATAGAATGATAGCAATGAGAATACCAAGAATGAGATAAAATGTCATTGCATTTTTTTTTCTTTTTGCGGTACTGGGGACTGAACCCAAGCTTGCTAGGTTAGTGCACTATCACCACCTGTGTATCCCCAGTCCTGTTACTGCGTTTTGTGGATAGATTTGATACATCAGTCACTGAATCTGAAGTACAATCTTAGGAAACTGCCAAGATGCTCATCATCCTCAGGTAGCAAATGAAGAAACTGATTTTAGATTAATGAAGTGAGTTGTGCAAGGTCATTATGCTAGTGAGAAGAGGAGTCTGGGACTGAAGCATACCTGTCTGATAGCGTTCCTCAGGCTGTCAGGACTGGGTAGGACAGGCACTCTCAGAGAGTCTCAGTGCCTGGCATTATGTGTTTATTCATCTTCAAAATGGAACAATTACTCCCAGTTACAGAAGAGAATCAACAAATGGGATCATATTAAATCGGAAAGGTTGGCAGGGCAGGGGAAGCCAGCAGAGTGACAAAACAGTCTGCAGAATGGGAGGGAAATTGTGCCAGGTAATCATCGGGTGGGGGGACTAATGTCTGGAATATGTATAAAGAACTCAGAACCAATTCCTCCTCCAGTTTGAAACCCCAGTTAAAGATGGGTGTTTTCAATGAAGAGACACTATGCAAATGGCCAGTGAATAGGAGAAACTGTTTAATGTCACTGGCCATTTGGGAGGTGCAAGTTGAAACAACACTGAGATTCCCTCTTACTCCATAAAGAATGATTATCTTCAAGAGAGTAAATGACAGGTGCTGGATAGGCTTCGGGGAAGACAACTCTTTGTTATTAAGAGGGTAGACTGGTGAAGCCACTGTGGAAATGAGTGTGGAGATTCCTTGGGAGACTTAAGATGGAGGTTCCATTTTCCCTAGTCATTCCCCTTCCTGAAAGAGTTAACATCGTATTAGAGTGATGCATGGCGTGCCTATGTTTATAGCGGCACAGTTTATAATAGCTAGGTCTTGAGAACAGCCAATGTATTCATCAACAGATGAGTGGATGAGGAAATGTGGTGTTTGTATACAATGGCGTGCTACTCTCTCGTGAAGGTTAAACTTGATTCATTTGTGGGAAAATGGATGCCCCTTGAGACTGTACCACTAAGCAAAATAAATCAGACTCACATGCTTAACTATATCTCTTACTTGAGAAACACACTATATAAAGTACAAAATAAGAGACAATAGGAAAAGAGAAAAAATGGTACTCTAGCATGACCAGTGTATCTAATAGTGTACCTTGATGTAGTATACTTATGTGTTTTATATGTTTTCTAGGCTACTAATCTGTTTATTATAATTAATTTGATAAAAGACAAATTAATGCTGGCAAAAAGAAAAAAATTAAAAGTAAGGATGGTGAGGAAGGGGGTAAAAAGGAATTGAGATGTGTTATGTACACATGCCAATTCACCTCAGTGAATGTTGTCATTATATACTACAGACATGTACTAATAAAATTTTTAAAAATTAAAATTTTTTTTAAAAAATGGAACAATTCAAAAAATGAATAGAAGTTAATAATGATCTAAAGTTGGAAGTCTATATTGTTTCTTAAATTAATAACGTCTGAAAAATTTTACGTATATATTTTTAATTATAATTATCTGGCCACCAATCGTGGTAGAAAACAGTGGCGGTTAAGCTGGTGAACTAATTGGTGGATGAGTTGAACTAACTGGTGACCCCGATGGGGTTGTCACTGGAGCTGGTGCCTAAGGTCGGGTGTCCCTGGGCTTGTGTTCCCTGGAGGTGTTGCTACAGACAGCACCAAGAGGACCCATTAATATGTCTGCCCCTCATGTTAATGGTGGTCAATTTAGTTTGTCCTACATCTCTTCTAATCCTCCCATCGCTCATTTTTCATACTCATAGGTGCTTTCAGAAGTTGCTTTACTGTATTACTCTTGTCCTGCATATTTGCTTGTACCTACAAGTAGAACAGTCCATCATCCTTCAGAGCAATCACTTTGGCAACTGTTGGTCTCTGTGGCTATGGCTCCTCTCGGATCTTTATCTTCATGTCTTTTGGTGCTTTAGTATTCCTTACAACTCGCCAGTTAATCATCAATGAGCTGGGCTTTGGAAGTGGCACTCTGTGGTTGAGTGACTGTGAGGGCTTAATACTCCTCTTCTCCCTTCAAGAATCTGAGAGATTTGGGAAAGCTCTGCATTAACCTCACTGCCTTTCATCTTTCGGCTTTTGTGGAAATGTGAGACAGAACGGCTGTGGTGTTCTTCCCTGTCTGAGAAGTATAAGAAAGATCATCTTAAGAATCTGTTTCCTTAAGTAACTAATATTTTTATAGTAAATATTCAACGTTGTCTGTTCCCATTGGTTCACTGTGCTTTCTCTCCCTTCAGCCCCCCAGGTTCGCCTAATAGTCTTGGCTACTTCCCTACAGCTGCTAACCTTAGCAGTGTCCCTCCACAGCCTGGCACGGTGGTCAGAATGCAGGGCTTGGCCTACAATACTGGAGTTAAGGAAATTCTTAACTTCTTCCAAGGTTACCAGGTCAGTACCTTGAAGAAGGCGTACCCTCAGTGCCCTCATTATATTTAAGTCGATTTGCCTAAAGAACACAGCCAGCAGAGAAGTGGACTCTCTGACACATACACGTTTACATGTGCTAATAGATTTGCTTGTGGAAGCAAACAGAGCTAGAGTTGGTGTCAAGGCCGCTGACTTCAAATTCATCCCCTCAACAAGACTAGGCCTTCTCCATGCTGGCTTAGTTCTTCCTATTTAATCCTTTGCTGATTGTTTTCAAACTTGTGCTATTTTGAGAAAGCTCCTCAGGACACACAACAGCACAGGTGTTTTGTCTGCATTAAGAATAGGGTGGGCTAGGATGAGCTTTCCCTAAAGTCAGGTGCCAAGTCTTTTTTTTGTTTTGTTTTGGGGGTTTTTTGTTTTGTTTTGTTGGTTTTTTGGTACTGGGGATCGAACTCGGGACCTTGCGCTTGTGAGGCAGGTGGTGGAACCACTGAGCTAAATCCCCAGCCCTTGTCCTTGTTAAACATCTGAGCTGGGGGTGTAGCTCAGCAGTAGAGTACTGGGCTCGGTCACAGCCAGAATCAAAAAAGCTAAGTGTTGGGAAAAAAAGCTAAGTGGTCAGTGGCCTCTGCCTAACTTGGGAAAGGAAAAAACAAAATCAAACAAACAAAAACATTTGTCTCATGCTTAGGAAAGACCCAATTATGAAATACCATGCTATTCTGGTGAGGCTGACATTGCTCTTGACACTTTTTTCTACCGCTGCCTGTTTTCTGACTTGCACTAAAGAAGGAGCTTTTTTAGTAAGAGCTCTGTAGCAGTGAACAAAATCTGCTCATTTCCCACTGATCCAAGCAGACTCCTCAAGTCTTGTAGTAACCTAAAGTCTGAAATCTCTTTCCTGCTATGCCAGAAATCAGTATATTGTAGTCTTTTTATTGTTCTACTAGCAAAAATCGTCCTCTTCCCCGAGCTGACCTTTGCTTGAGTCTGCAGGGTTGAGAAGGCAGAGGAGTGAAACCCTGAAGAAGGCCCTGCGCCTCTGATGTGCTGCCTGTCTGGACTGGGCCCGGCCAGGCCACTGCACTGTCGGAATGGGTTTATGAGTTTGGTGCCATGAGGCTACAGAGGGCTGTGCCTCCAGCTAAAGCATCTGCACATGCCCCAAACCTACCGCATTCCCATGATTGTCCTAAGGGCTTTTTTTTTTTTTGGTACCAGGAATCAAACTTGGGACATTGGGCTTTTGAGGCAGGTGGCAGAATCTTAAGGGCTTTTAACAGGCAAGGGATATTTTCTAACAAAATCTGTGACTGATAGGGAAAAGCTGAATGAAGAGGTCAAAAGTTCTCTTTTGCTACTGACAGGCTAAGTGCATACTTCCCTAGAAGTGAGATTCTTATTCTAAAAACAAGCTTGTTTCAGGGGTCAATAGATTCTTTACTGTCCCCTGAACAATTACACTGCCTCCGGAGGACCTTAAAAAGGATAAAAAAGTTAGCTTCTGGGCCGGGGATTTAGCTCAGTGGTTCCACCGCCTGCCTCACAAGCGTAAGGTTCAGAGTTTGATTCCTGGTACCAAAAAAAATGTTAGCTTCCAAACCCTCTATCTGACTTGTTAGATTATAAAATTTTACTGGTAATACATTACAAAGGTTGCTTAATATTGTGGAGAAAACATTTTGACTTTTGTGTTTTATTTTCCCATTGTAGAAAGTCCAAGGGAAGTTTGAAATTCAGGTGTCAGCTGGATTAATTTCATTTTAGTCTTTAATTTATATTCACACTAAATAAAGCAGCTTGACATATAAATTAGTAATGAGAATCAGCACTCTTATAAAGCGTTGTAGCCGGGAATTTAGCTCAGTGGCACCATGCCTGCCTCGCAAGTGCAAGGTCCTGAGTTCTATCCCAGGTACCAGAAGGAAAAAAAAAAAAGATGTTGTAGCCAGCATTTGGAGTATTTTACCACAGAAATATAACGGATTATTTCTAGATTTATGACTAAAAAACTGACAAGCTTCAAAAGGGAGGTAAGATAACATCAATCTGTAGCAGTCCTTTTTAATAGTTTGTAGTGTCTTTCAATGTTGGAGTAGAGTTATTTGGTATAATCAGCAGCAGAAAGATTGTACAGACTTTTTTTTTTTGGTAACAGGGATCTAACTCGGGACCTTGCGCTTGCGCGGCAAACACTGGAAGCACTGAGCTAAATCCCCAGCCCTACAAACTTATTTCTCCTGAAAATATTTGTCCCTCTTTTTTTTTGGCGACAGGGTCTCACTATATAGTCCAGGTTGGCCTCGAACTTGTGGCCATCCTCCTGCCTCATCTGCCCAAGTGCTAGGATTACAGATGTGCACCACCAGGCCTGGCTTGGCCTTCATTTTTGAAGTAATTAGAATTTATAAACTAGGTCCATGAATGAAGATTGTACTGGGACCTCAGTAATCCAATCCCTTATGTATATATTCCAGTATTTGCCTTCAGTAATTTGAACTGTGAGGAATACATTTCAAAACCTTTACACTTAATCATATCATTCTCTTTTTCTCTGTGTCTGGTTCATTTCATTCTTTCATAAAAGCTCCCATTTTCCACTGCTTTTCAGATTCCATGCCTTTTTTTTCCCATGCCTTCTTATTATTTTCTATTCTCAGTTATTCAAGTAGTAGCCCATCACTGTGGGGTCCCAGATTTGTTAGATTTGCTTTGTCACAAGATGGTAAGATCAGTGGATGACTTCTTAAAAAAGAAAACCTGTGTTCACTCAAGTGTTATGTGTCTTTATCTTTACCTATGGTATATTTATCACTGTTGCTAACTCAGTGGGCAGTTTTAATTTTATTTCTGGCTATTAATATCATAATACTTATGCACTTAAGTAAATATCAAGAAAATAATCAGCTAAGTGAAATTTGTTGGTTATTGTCTTTTTTTTTTGTACCAGGGATCAAACTCAGGACCTTGCACTTTCCAGGCAGGCTTGATGCCACTCAGCTAAATCCCTGGCCCTGG